CAAGAATTTCTTAATTATTATTGCCCACAGCAAAGATACCAGTATTCTGACTTCTAACAGTATAAAATGGTTTCGTCCATTTTTTAACTTTTCGTAAATTAAATCAAATAGTATGTACACTTTTGGTTCTGGCTTATTTCATTCAATATTTGCTAGATTCTGCCCTGCTCTTGGGCATAACATAAGTTTTGTCCTTTTTTACTGGAGCATAAGTAGTTACCAAAATTTATTTATCAATTCCAGTATTGATGAATTCCTCCCCACACACTGTTTGAGGTTATTATGAATAATGCTTCTATTTAAATCCTTAAATATGTGTTGTGATGTACATACATCTGCAGTTCTGTAGGGTATAGATCTAGGAATGGAACTGTTGGATATGCATATGTCTAGTTTTAGAAAACAATGCCAAACAGATTTTTTAGAGTAATTGTTTATATTTTCATTGGTAATGTTTTAAAAGTCCTGTAGTTTTGAATTTGCACCAACATTTGGTATGATATTTTAATTTTAGCCAGTCTTGTAGGTGCCTAGTGGTGATCTATAGTTTAAATTGTTTAATCATAAGTAATAATGTAATAAATAATGATGAGTAATAAACACTTTAAAAATATTTTTAATGAGCATTTGGATAGTAAATCTTTTGGAGTACCTATTTAAATTTTTACCTTTTTTAAAGCTGGAATTCTGCCTTTCCCTTATTGATTATAGTTTTTTTTCTGTCTTTCTTTTTAATATGCATTAAAGATATATGTCCTTTGTCAGATTGATACAATTATCTTCAACACTGAAACTTACTTCTTCACTGTCTTACTGTTATGCTTGGACAAACAGAAATATTTAATTTTAGTAAGGAATTTATTATTTTTTCTCATTAGTGTTTTTTATGTCCCACTTAAGAAATATTTGCTCATTTCAAAGTCAAGAAGCTATTCTCCTATTTTATCTTTCAGAAAATTTATTCTGTATCTTTTATATATAGATCTGCAAACCATTTGGCATTGATTTTTGTGTACAGTATAAGCTGGATATATAGTTTAACTTTCTACATGAATAGCCAAACGAATTAATGTCATTTACAAAAAAGAACATCTTTCTTCACTGTATTGCAGTTGCATTATTTTGTAAATCAACTAAATCTGTAAGTGTAGATCTGTTTCTGAACTCTCTATTTTGGTCTATTTGTCTATTTGTCTAGCTTGCAGCAATAATATACTGTATTTAAAACAACTCTAGATTGTCCAGTAGTCTGTATCATAGAACTTTATTCTACTTCAAGAATAGGTAGGCTATTCTTGACTCTGAGTTTTCATGTACATTTCAGAATAATCTTGTCAATTTCCTTCTACATATACATACAACTATAATCTAGGGTTTTTATTGAGAATGATATTTTTCTACTGATCAATTTTTAAAAAATAAATATGTTTACAATACTGAGGATTTGAAATGCATGATATATATTCTCTTATTTAGGCTTTCTTTTAGTTTGCAGTGATATTTGTAGTTTTCTGCTTAGATTCTCATCTATCTAGCATTAAGCTTTTCTAAGTTATTTAATTTTTTAACTCTGTTATAAAAGGTATGTTTTCAAAATATCATTCTCTAATAGTTGTTATAAATATATACACATTGATTTTTGAATATTGGACCTGTATATGTATTTTGTTAAATTTGTTAGTTCTAATTTTTTAATCTGTGGATGATTTAGTATTTTCTATATTCTATTATTAGCATATTATGACAGTTTTAGTTTCTTCCCACTATTTATATCTCTTATTCCTTTATCACCTTATCAAACTGTGTGTAGGACTTCCCATATAGTGTTTAATAGGAATAATAAGTACCTTATTTTTGATCTCAAGAGGAAAACTTTCAATATTTCACAATATGTATAACATTTACTGTTGTTTTTTGTAGATATCTTTTAGCACCTTAAGAAAGTTCTTTTCTAATCATTGTTTTCTTAAATTAAAAAAAAATATTTCTTAAATTTTATCATTTTTTGTTCTGCATCTCTTAACATCATCCAAGTGTTAGGTAGTCAGGCATGAGCGACAGGAGCCAAGGCCCAGCTCTGTAACCATAGAAACTTCCATTGAAGACCTTCCTTAAGGACCTCCCAGAAACACTACTCTTTTAGGGTTATAAATTAACCCAAATCCTAGAGTTCAAAGGTATAAAAAGCTGCTGGCTAAACTAGCTACAAATGCATGCACATGAAGTACTGCTCATAACTCCAGCCTCATTATACCATCATAATAATCTCATGACTATGCCTGGAAGTTCATGAATCTAATTATAACAGATTGAATTCTGGGTAAGCACATGTGCACTAGGCAAAGTGTTATATAGCAGCCAAGTGTTAATCAAGGTGATCTCACATACATATCATCTAGGCCCTCCCATCATGGCCCAAATATAAACAGACCTTCCTATTTCTGCATTGTTACAGCACTACTGGCTGGAAACCACCCACCCTTTGGGGTGTAGTATCTTATTTCTTTATCTCCTAAATTCTGCAGCCTTCCTTAGCACAGCCCTTTTCCTTCTAAAATGTACTTTCAATAAATCTTACTTTTTCTAAATCTCGCCGACCTGTAATTCTTTGCTGTGTCGGCGAGGAAGAACCGGGGACAACGCACACCATGCCAACGTCCATTATCCACTATACTCCACCTTCTCTTCCTCCTCCACATCACTGATTGTCATTGGATTTCACATCACCCCAGCACTGACACTATGATTTTCTCTTAATGTGGTAAATTTATCTTACTTGGGGTCCATAGTATTTTGGATCTTTGGCTTAATTATTTTTCTCATTAAAAGAAAATTTAGAGGGCTTGGGAAGATGGTGGGCTAGGTAAAAGCAGGGGTCACCTCCTCCCAGGTCTGCATTAAAATTACAACTAAATTATAAAATAATCAATGTGGAAAGTCCCCTGAAGTTCAGCTAATCATAACACATATATTTGATAATATAAAGAAGGAGCAACATTGAAGCTGGTAGGAGAGGCAAAGTCTCAAATCTGGCAACCGCAGGTGGTGGAGGAACACCAGGAGGGAGAGCAAAGCCGCAGAGGACCCCTGAAGGAGAAAGGAGTCCTAGCCCCATTCGAGCCTCTCCAGCCCAAGGAAGAAGAGTTCCCAAAATATCTGACTGTAAAAATCTGAGGGCCATCCCTCTGAGTGAAATGGAAATAGACTGAAATCTCAGATGCCCCTTTAAAGGGACAATGCACAGGCTCTCTCGCCCTAGACACACACCCTGGACACTGGCAGTGGGTCAGAGGCTCCTGCAAGATTTATACGGGGAAAGACTGCATTATCTGATGTGGGAACGAGAGCTGGACAGATAGCCACCACTGTGCCTTAGTCGGGCGCTGGGAGGTGGGGGTGGGGGGCGGATCTATACGGCAATCTACAGACCACACCAACTTGCTTGTAAAGATCCCTAGCCCCCATGGCCAATTCGGAAGCCACACTGGCCTGAAAAGATTGGCCTGCCCTATCCAATCTACAGATTGCCCAAGGCGGCTTGGTGCCTGGCAGCTGCCTCTCACTACCCCTTTCCAGGGCAGAACTTTTGCCATAGGCAGTCAACTCTGTGAGTGCATTTCAGCGACAGTTTCTGGCAGATCACTGCTGCCAACAAAAACTTGGGCAAATCTCAGGCATCTGTGGGCCAGTACCAGACAGCAGCTGGTCTTGTTGTGATCTGACTTTGGTGCGAATGCTTGAGCAGACACAGAAGTTGCAGCAAGACTGAGGCTGTATTGACTTGATGGCCATTGTCTTGCTGAGACCCTTCCTACCCAAGCCACAAATTCCCCAAGGTGGGCCTGTTGACAGACAACCGCCACCACCCTGTCCCTCCCCACCAGTCACACATTGTACACAGAGAACAAACTTTGGCTATGACAGTGGGCACATTGTAGAGAAATAAGTTGCAGGCAGACCTCTGTTGCATGCAAGAACTACAATATCCTCTGAGGGGATTGTAGGGGTCTGTGGGACTGCCGCATTTGGCAGCCAGTCTCACTGTGATCTGTGACTACAGCGGGAACGCACAGGCACAGAATTTGCAGAAAAACTGAGATATTGGCCTGACGGCCCTTGACTCCCTGAGATTCTGACCCATCCAATCCACAAAGTTCCTGTGGCACATTGACAGGCAGCTGCCCTTGCCCTACCCCTAGGCAGTGTTGCGCATTCTACACAGACAACGGACCTGAGCTAGCAAAGTGAGCAAATTTCAGGGAACATAGTGATGAGAAGATCACAGCTACCAGGACAAAATACAATAAATATCACTTGGGCAGATCTCAGGGGTTTGTGGGCTCATCCCAGACGGCAGTAGGTCTCACAGTAGTGTGACTTTTGTGGGATCCTGTGGTTCCAGAGCTGACAGCAAATTTGGTGCTATATAAGTCTGACAGCCCTGTGCCTCACTGAGACATTGCTCCACCTAACCCACAAATTACCTGTGGCAAGCCTGTTCCCAGGCAACCCAGTACCATCCTGTGCTTTTCTTGGGTCACGAATTTAACTGCAAACAAACTGCGGTCAGTTCATGCAGCCCACGGAAAGCCCATGCATCTGGGAGAAGCCTTCAGTGGTGGGCTATAAACTCACACCCATGAGCTTTGGTAATTCCTGAACAAATCTTGGGTGTTTGCAGGCCCGAGGTGGACAGCAAGGTGGCTTTGCTATGATCTGAAACTTGTTCAGGGAGCTACAGAGACAGCACTGTCATGTAAACTGAAACTGCTCTGGCAGCGGGGGAAATCTGCTCAATAAATCCAAGTGACTCCTGGGGTCACTGTACCACACAAGGCACATATCACCCAGAGGCTCTTCCAGTTGTGGAGTCTTACAGGCAACTGACAGGCAGTCTCAGGCCTTGAGGAACACTGGTCCTTCTGCTAAAGTGCCCCAGTTTCCGTAAGGGGGGTTACCAGACCGCAACCTATAACACTGTCTCTTCTACTTACCTTTAGATCCAGCATAGGCAGCAACCATCTGCGGATCACTTTGTAGTGCCCACCAGGTAGCCCTGAGCAATCAAAGACAGCAGCTGACTTTGGACTACTGAGGAGCCCCTCCCAAGGTACTACAAAAACAACATACCTGGAGACTGGCACAAGACCACAACAGAGCAACTCCTGACTAGGTCCATAAGCAGTATACACAAAGGGTGATTGCAACAAGTACATAAGCCTGCTAGGGAAAATTCCACTCAGTGGGGTCAGCCCCCACACAGCAACTCATACCCTGTGGGCAAAGCTAGCTCCCATAGTCAGTCAGCAGAGCAGTAATCCCATTACTGATGTACTAACACAAATAAAGGTTAGCTACAACAGAAGATCACACACAGCCCACACAAAGATCACATCCAGAACCCCAGGCACAGGTGATGAGAGAGAATGTGCCACTGGACCACACAGGACACCTTCCACATAAGACCATCTAGCCAAGACCGAAGGATGAAACAGATATTCCTAACACATAGAAATGAACATAGAAGAGCTAATAAAATGAGAAAACAAAGAAACATGCCACAAATGAAACAACAGGAGAAAAACCTAGAAAATAAGATAAATGAAATGGAGGCAAGCAACCTATCAGAGACAAAGTTCAAAATAATGGTTATAAGGATGCTCAGTAAACTTAGGGATAGAATGGATGAGCTCAATGAGAACCTCAACAGAGATAATAAGCATTAAAAAGAACATGGAAACCAAAAAAAGAACCAGCCGGAAATGAAGAATTACAATAACTGAAATAAAGAATACATTAGAAGGATTTGACAGTAGATTGGATGAAGCAGGAGATTGAATCAGTGAACTGGAAGACAAGGTAGCAGGAAACACCCAATAGGAATGGCAAAAATAAAATAAAATAAAATAAATGAGGATAGTTTAAGAGACCTCTGGGACAACATGAAGCATAACAATACCCACATCATAAAAGTACCAGAAGGAAAAGAGAAACAACAAAGAATTAAGATTTTATTTGAAGAAATAATGACAGAAAACTTTCCTAACTTGGCAGAAGAATTAGACATACAAGTCCAGGAAGCACAATGAGTCCCCAACAAGAGGAATTCAAATAGACTCACACCAGGACACATCATAACTAAAATACCAAAGGTCAAAGACAAAGATAGAATCTTAAAACAGCAAGAGAAAGGCAGCTAGTTAGTTACAAGGGCACAATCATAGGAATGTCTGCTAATTTTTCAACAGAAACTTTGTAGGCTAGAAGGGAATGACAAGAAGGGAATGGCAAAGTTATGAAAAACTAGAATCTATGACCACAAATACTCTACCCAGCAAAGCTTTCAATTAAAATAGAAGATGAGTTAAAGAGCTTCCCCAACAGAGAAATACTTAAGGAATTCATCACCAAGAAGCCAGTATTACAAGAAATGTTAAAGAGACTTCTGTAAAAAAAGAAAAAAAAAAAAAGAGGGAAAAAACAAAGAAATACAAATAATAAAATGGCAGTAACTATGTCCCTATCAATAAACGCTTAAAAGTAAATGGATCAAATGACCCATTCAAAAGACATAGGATAGCCAAATAGATAAGAAAACAAGCCCCATGCATATGCTGCCTACAAGAGATCCACTTTAGATCAACTGATACTCACAGACTGAAAGTAAAGGTATGGAAAAAGAAATTTCACACAAACGGAAATGAAAAAAAAAAAGCCAGGTTAGCAATACTTACATAAGACAAAATAGACTTTAAAACAAAGGCTATAATAAGAGACAAAAAAGGCCATTACATAATGATAAAGAGAGCATAACCCTAGTAAACATATATGCATCCAATAAAGGAGCACCTACATATATAAAGCAATTATTGACCAACATAAAATGATCAACAGTAATACACTCATAGTAGGGGACTTTGACACCCCATTAACACTAATGGACAGATCTTCCAGAAAAAAGCATCAACAAGGAAACAATGGGCCTAAAAGAGACACTAGAACAAATGGATTTAATAGATATTTTCAAAGCATTTCACCCCAAAGCAACAAAATATACATTCTTCTCAAGTGCACATGGAACATTTTCCAGGATAGGCCACAGGTTAGTACATAAAACAAATATCAATAAATTTAAGAAGATTGAAATCATATCAACCATTTTCACTGATCACAACAGTATGAAACTATAAATCAATTACAAGAAAAAAAAATGGGAAAATACACAAACACATGGAGGGTAAATATCATGCTACTAAACAATGAATGGGTTAAAATGAGATTTAAAAAAATCAAAAGATACCTAGAGACAAATGAAAATGAAACACAACATCTCAAAATCTATGGGGCACAGTGAACGCGGTCCTAAGAGGGAAATTCATAGCAACAAAGGCCTACATCAAGAAAGAAGAAAAAACTCAAATAAAAAATCTAACCTTACACTAAAAAAACAAAACAAAACAAAACAAAACAAAATGAGGGAGGGAGGGCAGAAACAACCCATGAAAAGAACAGCAAACAAAGCCAGAAGTGAGTAGAAGGGAGGAAATAATAAAGATCAGAGCAAAAATAAACAAAATAGAGTCTGGAAAAACAATAACAAAAGATTAATGAAAACAAGAGCAGGTTCTTTGAAAGGATAAAAAAATACCTGATAAAGCCTTAACCAGAGTCATTATGGAAAAAAGAGAGAGGATTCAAATAAATAAAATCAGAAATGGAAGAGGAGAAATAACTATGGACTCCACATAAATACAAAGAATTATAAGAAAATAAAACAAGCAATTATACACCAACAAATTGTACAATCTGGAAGAAATGAATACATCCTAGAAACATACAGTCTCCCAACACTGCGTCAACAAAAAAACAGAAAACCTGAACCGACCGATTACCACCAACTAAATGGAATCAGTAATCAAAAACCTCTGAAAAAGCACAAGTTCTGGACCAGATGGCTTTGCAGGTGAATATTACCAAACATTCAAAGAAGAATTAACACTTATTCTTCTCAAACTACTCCGAACTACTCAAAAAGAGAGAAAGCTCTCTAACTTCTTTTATGAGACCACTGTTACCTTGATTCCAAAACCAGACATTAAAAAAAAAAAAAAAAAAGGAAAAAAAAAGAAAAGAAAAGAAAACTATAGACTGATATCTCTTATGAACATTGATGCAAAAATTCTCAACAAAATATTAGCAAACTGAATTCAGCAATACGTTAAAAAGATCATATGCCATGATCAAGTTGGATTTATTCCTGGGATGCAAGGTTGGTACAATACTTGCAATCAATTAATGTGATACACCACATTTATGAATAGAAAGATAAAAATCATATGATCATATCAACATTTGCAGAAAAAGCGTTGATCAAAATCCAGCCTCAATTTATGATAAAAACTCTCAACACAGTGAGAATAGAGGGAACATTCCTCAACATAATAAAAGCCACATAAGACAAACCTGCAGCTAACATCATACTCAAAGGGGAAAGGCCAACAGCATTTTCCTTAAGATCTGGAACAAGACAAGGATGCACACTCTCACTACTCCTGTTCAACATTATTTTGGAAGTGCTAGACACAGTAATAAGACAAAAAAGAGAACAAAAAAAGTAAAACTTGCGTTATTTGAAGATGACATGATACTACATAGAAAGAACCCTAAAGATTCCACCAAAAAACTGTTAGAACTGTTCAATGTATTCAGTAAGCAGGATACAAAATTAATATTCGGAAGTCAGTGGCATTTTTATACACCAACAATGAACTTTCAGAAAAAGAAATTAATTAAACAATGTACAATTGCATCAAAAACAATCAAATACCTGAGAATCAAATTAACCATGGAGGTAAAAGACCCATTCTCAGAAAATTATGTCAATGAAAAAAGAAGTTGAAGAAGATATAAATAAAAGGAAGCATATACTGTGCTCATGGGTAGGAAGAATCAACATCATTAAAATGGCCATACTACCCAAAGCAATCTATAGATTCAATGCAATCCCTATCAAAATACTAATGGCATTTCTCAGAGAGCTAGAACTAATAATCCTAAAATTTATAGGGAACCATAAAAGACCCTGAATAGCTATGGCAATCTTAAGAAGAACAAAGTTGGAGGTATCACACTATCTGATATCAAACTATACTACAAGGCTACAGTAATCAAAACAACATTGTACTGGCATAAAAACAGACACAGTGATCAATGGAACAAAATAGAGAATCCAAAAATAAATCATGCCTATACATTCATTTAATATATGACAAAGGAGGCAAGAATATACAATGAGGTAAAGATAGTCTCTTCAATAAATGATGTTGGCAAAATTGCACAGATAAATGACAAAAAATAAAACTGGACCATCTTCCTAAACCGTATACAAAAACAGACTCAAATGGATTAAAGACTTACATATAAGACCTGCAACCATAAAACTTCTATAAGAAAACATAGGCAGTAATGTCTCTGACATTGCTACTAGTAATTTCGTTTCGGACATAGCTCCTTGAGCAAGGGAAACAAAAGAAAAAAATAAACAAATTGGACTACATCAAACTAAAAGTTTTTTCACAGCAATGGAAACCATCAACAAAACAAAACACAACCTACTGAATGGAAGAAAGATATTTGCTTATGATACAACTGATAAAAAGTTAATATCCAAAATATATAAAGAACTCACACAACTCAACAACAAAAAGAAAAAAATCCAATTAAAAAATGCACTGAATATATGTTTCTAAAAAAGAGCTGAATATATGTTTCTCCAAAGAAGAAATACAGATGGCCAATAGATATATAAAAAGATGCTCAAAGTCACTAATCATCAGAGAAATGAAAATTAAAAAAACAATGCAATATTACCTCAAACTTGCCAGAATGACTATCATCAATAAATCAAAGAACAAAAAATGTTGGCGAAGATGTGGAGAAAAGGGAACCCTTGTACACTGTTGGTGGAATGGCAAATTGGTACAGCCACCAAGGAAACAGTTTGAAGCTTCCTCAAAAAACTAAAAATGGATCTACCTTTTAACACAGCAATTATACTTGTGTGTATTTATCCAAAGAAAACCAAAACAATAATTCATAAAGATCTATGCACCCTTATGCTCATGGCATCATAATTT